CATAGAAGTATACAGAAAAACAAACGCAATGGCTCTGGATCTGCCCTCTTCCCTTGGTGGAAAGAGCCGAACCGTGAAAGACAAATTTGAAGCATGGACATCATAGGAACTACAAGACATTATCGGTTCCACTGCTTCACTTGCTTGCTTACCTTACTTCTGATAACTAGCATAGTGATGACGGCCTGCCTCCAGTAGGCATTGTTAATATCCTGGCAACATTTCAGAACTGGCTCTCATGAAACCCATCACTCCGGCAAAGTAAACATACTGATGTGCGCCATGCATAATGTGCATATCGAAAAATCGAGGAATTTCTGATGATTCTCTCTTTTTTAGCTACATTGGGTCTTTTCTGACTCAATGTAGCTAAAGAAAGAAAGAATCGTCATAACTTTGCACCGTTGACTTAACATCAATTAGAAAACATGGCGAATTACGTGTTCTATATCAGGGATTGAAGAAATTCAGTTGTAGAGTTCTGTACCGAAAAAAACGTTCAGAGTGGTTTTGCTTTAAATCATTCTGATTTATTGAGTTGACCAGTGAATACGCGCCGAAAAATTTACTCATGCTGCATGGATGCAAGCTGAGCCGAAATCAAATGCCTCTGCATATGCAATTAGAATCAGGAAGCCTGGAATGAAGGCACGGTTGCAGAGAAGACTGTTCCGAGAGCGTTTGTTGATCACGTAGTTATTGTTGTTTTTGTATGTTTTGTTGGAAACTTATGAGTGAATTTGAAAAAGGCGGATAATTGTTGTTCAACCTTGTGCTTTCCTTTCAAATTCATTCAATTTCCATCACTGAAAAAACTCTCGCCCAGCAGCTTCATATTGCTAGATGAAACAAATGCAGTTCCAAGCGTAATTTAAACAGGACTCACGGAAGACGATTTGTTAAGAAAAGGCGACAAATACTGGTCTAGACTCGGCTAACCTTACAATTGAGCTTTGCAGCTCTTCTTCTCTTACTATATCTTCAAGCAGGTAAAAATATTTATTGACGGAACTGGTGGCACTTCTATTTCGTCTTCCTCCTGTTGAACTAACATAAGGCTATCCCTGACGCTGTGAAGAAGCTGGCTAGATATGTCACCACCTCACTTCGACCAAAACAGTTGACGAATGTTTCGGTGTGCGTCATTTCAAGGTTTTGGATATGAGAGAGAGGGGCGCTGTATGAACTTCTTGTGAGCAAGAATCATAATGTTATCTGAAATATCTGAGATGAACAACAAGCTTTATAATTAACTTGATTGGGGAAGCGTCATTCTGCAGGGACGTCTTCGTCTGACAGCAACGACTTCGTCCAAGGATTTATGGACAACCTCCCAGAATATAGCAGGAAATTCTAATGATTCCAATTAATTGAAGTGACAAATGAAGAATCGAAAAATCTGATGAGTTCTCTGATTTATCAGCTTTGCTAATTGAGGGGTGTCAAGAAAATGTCTTGCAATACGATTCGAGTCTGATCCCCTGATCTTGCTGTTGTAGATTTTTGGCTTGATAAGAGTTATTGCCGGCTTGATCGCACAAAATGGGGAGCGTCACGATGGTTGCAAGTCCTCACTGATCAGCGCGCTTAGGGCGCTAATCCATAAGGACTTGCAACCATCGCGACGCTCCCCACCCACTTCGATCGATGTAGAGATCAGCGTGCTCCCTCGCGCGTTGTCGTCAAAGTTGTCCGTGGTACCACTCTGACCTTGCCATAGTTTTTCGCGCTTTAGGCCTTTGATTTCAGCGTTTTCAATGGTTTTGCTAGCTTTTTTCATTTCACTGCACATCGCAGATGAACCATCACCACGAAGCGAAATTATGCACTAGTTTTGACACGTTGGCGACATTGTGCAGCGCATGCGCATCACACCTTGAAGACCGTGTGGGACCGTGACAAATTATTATTTTTTTCGCGCATGCGCTACTTCTTTTCTAATTTTTTGCATCTATTCTATAGACCACACCATAATATGACTAGACACGGCGAGGTTCATCGAATGGTTGAATATGCTCCTTTTTAGCGAAGGTTTTCTAAGCCCTACGAATTTCCCAATTGTGTTCATTCC